ATTGTGGGGTGTTTGTTTCCTCCGGACCCTCTTGATCAAAAGGATCTTTTAAATATGAAACATCTATATCTATCTATCTATCTATCTATCTATCTATCTATCTATCTATCTATATATATCTATCTCTCTCTCTCTCTCTATATATATATATATATATATATATATATATATATATATATATATATATATATATATATATATATATATATATATATATATATATGTGTGTGTAAGTGTGTTTGTATATATATATATATATATATATATATATATATATATATATATATAAAATATGTATATATTATATTTTATTCTTCATATGAAGAATAAAATATAATATATATTAAAACAAATTTACATTATAAGTAAAAACGTTTGCGGTTTTTTTCTTTTTTTTTAAATGTATATTTTTCTCTTGTTCGAACAATTATAGCCTTTTCCCTACACACACACACGCATATATACACACACACACACATATATATAGTATATCTGATTGAATAAATTGCCGGCATTATGTCTTCTAATTTTTAACAAAATCCGTTCATACTCACGAATAACCTTCCGTGTGTTGATGTTGAAGGATGAGAGAAATGTGCTATAGCTGTTTAAATTTCTTTCGTTTTCATTTCCTAAGTCCTTTCGATCTTTTTCCAAGATCATATTGAGTGGCGCAGAGAGAAAAATTCCATAATAGATAATTTTTCACGTTCTAATGCATGCTCAGCACATTGTCAATCGTTTTGCATTTAAAAGCACCACGAAAAAATACGTTCATGGATAACAACGTAAAATTATTAATGAACGCACTTGTATTAATGAACAACATATAGTTTTGCATTACTTGAACATGACATTGAACAGAATGGCGCTCAAAACACAACTGATGTCCTTCGGGACGGTGTCGTAGTGGATATGGGAGTTTATTAAAAATATATTATCATTGTGGAAGCACGGTAGAGTAATGAATAGATGCTCGGAGGGAGAAATCGGAGAGCAGAGTTCGAATTCAAGTTGAATTTATTGCATTCGCTCACGTGAAACCCTTGGAAAAAAGGTATAAATCCATCACTTCCCTACATCTATAGGGAAATAGCAAGATAGATTGGACCCTATAAAGATTCGCTTACGTGAATCCCTTGGAAAAAAGGTATAAATCCATCACTTCCTTACATCTATAGGAAAATAGCAGGACAGATTGGACCCTATAACTTGGCATTCTTGACAATGATCATCCTTTTTTGAACGTTGAAGACTGGCTTTACAGAATCACAAAGAACTGTACCAAATAACAGAAACCACATCACTTGAAGACTTTCAACAGCAGCAACAACTAAAATGAATAGCGAAGAGAAAATAATGACATAAGAAAGATGCTAACATTCCACATCACTTTAAATAGAAGCTTCGGAAGCAAAACCCCATCAATACTGGAAAGAGCGATAAAAGTTACTGGACTTTTTAAGAAAATTTTCATAGATTTCGACCGAAAACAGTACTGGCTGCTCGATCAATGAATGCCAAATAGCTCCCTGTTTGTGTCTGTGCATATATATATATATATATATATATATATATATATATATATATATATATATATATATATATAATCATTTTAAACGTTATTTTTAGTGGATACTTATATTTGTGTAGATGCTCCGTTTATTTATTAAACGGTATATTTATTTATTTTCTACCGGCCTGAATATTCTAGAATGTCGAGAAAGTGATAAATTCTGTCAGATTAATAAATAAAAAATTCATTATTCATTAGAAATTGCATTGTTTACGTTTGGATACGAAACTGAGCAAATATGAATTTTCAGGAGTGTATGACGAGAAGAATTTCTCTTAAAGGCACTATTCATCCTTGCTGGATTGGAAATGGGTCTTAGTCGACTAGTCGGTTGAAACACGTCGGCTATAAGAACGGATCTATCTGCCCATTGGGGCGCAGGTTCGAAAACTGCTGAAGAGAGCATATTTTTATTTAATCAGATTTCAAAAATATTGACAAAAATAAATAAACGTACTGGTTAGTAAATGAACTACTCTAATATGAGTATCCACCAAAAATAACTTTTAAAGTGATAAAATCTGTCGAATTAATAAAGAATAATCCATTACTCTTACACACGCACGCACACATACCTATGCACACACACACGCACACATACATACCCATGCCCACACACACACAGTTGTTATACAGGAATAAGGTGTAGCTGCCGACACTGGAGTATGTACACATATCACCAGAGAGCAAATATCTTGAATAAGTAGATCACGTGATAGTAAAGGAAATATATATATGGGAATTTGCGTGACGTCTAAGTGATCAGATTCCGAATTACTTCGGGGGTGTACTGGTCGCGAACTCTCTGCAGGGAGGCAGAGAAGAACCGAGACAAGGCTATGCCGAAGGGCAGAGTCTCGTCTGGGGTGGTAGACAGCTACCCGAGCCCGTTTTTACGGGGGCTACGCGGAATTTTTGAACAGGCCTACGGGCTCGGATTCCCCACATTAATCTTGGCCTTGTGCCGCATCCGATCGCGTGGGCAGTTAGTGAATATCTCCCTCTCAGAATTACTTCGGAAGTGTGCTTGTCAATCTTTCTGCCATGGGGCAGAGAGGAACACAGACAAAGCTGTTTCGAAGGCAAGAGTCTCAACTGGGGTGGTAGACAGCTACGCGACCCCGTTTTTACAGGCTCTACAAGGAATTTTTATAGAGGCTCGAGTCTCGGATACCCCACAATAAACTTGGCCTTGTGCCACCTGCGACTGCATGGGGAGGTAGGTGAACATCTCACTATACGGATTACTATTCGATGTTTACTATTCGAGCGAGTATTATCGAACAAATATTATTTAGTGCGAGTGTTATACGAAGGCGTCGGACACCAGCATTGTTCAACGGCGTTGCTATCAGTTGTATCTGCGATTACAAAGTCTCTACTACGAAAAGTCTCTACTACGAAAAGTGTTAACTAGTATTCAGCTACATTATAAAAGTGTCAATGTGTGTTCGTTGACACCACAAAGCACACACACACACATACATATATGTGTGTGTGTATTTTTATATATATGTGTGTATATATATGTGTGTGTGTATATGTATACACACTACACACACACATATATATATATATATATATATATGTGTGTGTGTGTGTGTGTGTGTGTGTGTTTATATATATTGTCATTCACAGACAGACTGTTTCACTATATCACAGCTCATCAGTGTGGCTAGACATCCGGTTGCCTCTAGCTAGGATCAAAACCCAACAGAATTGGCGTCAATCAGGGATTCTACCACTAAGCCGTTGGCGCACGGCAGGGATGAAGGTGAATTTAAGTGCATTTATTTTTAGATAAGCACACAGTGACTGAGAGAACTCAATTCGATTCACCGAAGAGTCTTGTTGCATTATCAGCCGTAATAGTCACTGTTTAGAAACCGATACTTCCTCCCCAGAGAGCTCAACCGAAATATTTTTTTCAGGAGCATATATATATATATATATATATATAGTGTAACCCGGATATAAGCGAGTTGTCCGGACTGTAGAAGAAGTCTCTTATATCTTGGTTTCTCTTATATCCGGGTTTGGTCTATTTTATATACATTAACACAGGCTCTAATTTGGGACCAGAGAAAATCTTTCTTATATCCGGGTTTCTCTCATATCCGGGTCTCTTATATCCGGGTTACACTATATATATATATATATATATATATATATGTAATTTACACTATTCGTTTATTTACTGCAGTATTTAATGGTTATGAATTTTTCAAAATGGCTGGTTGTTGTTATTATTTTTAGATATATAGAATTTTTTTAACTATTTTTTGATAAAGAATTTAAAATAGAGCTATCTTATAGACAAGAAAAGGAATAATAACGGTAATATAATTTTGTTGTCATTTCCTTTTAGAATGAATTCAATTGAATGAATTGTTTCATTTTTCTTTGTTTCTCTAAATGTCTTTTAATATCTTGGTTTTTATACTCCTGCATCCTTAGCAACCTATGCTACTGCCCTTCTCCTCGTGAGATTTAATCCTCATATATATGAGCATGCCTGTCTCTTTACCTGAGCTCCCAGTTTAATTACGATGTTTTTGACCCAAAAGGAATTTCTGTTACCTTCATTTTTGGATAGACATCACACGTGCCTTCAGTATATTTCAACCGTATTTTTTTCTGGATTTCTCGTTTCTTCTTTAAGGATGCTACAGTCAAACGTTTTCTAGGGTTTGTCATTATCCACCTGATTGTCATGGATCCGAACTTCTGAGGAGTCTATCCTATCAGCAGGTGTCTAATATCGGGATTATTTTACTGCCATTTTGTGAATAGATCTTGAATCCTGCAATAGTCTTCAGTGGGGCTTCTCGATTCTATGATGAAGTTTACAGTTACAGTTTAGAAAACCGCCTTACTTGTGGGTGTGAATGTTTCGTTGCCACCTCTTCGCCAGGAGTCACCCCAGGAGATCTAACTATGATCACAAAAAATCAAGCTGAGGAGAAGACAACGGAAAACACTTCAACCTCTTCCCCAAGAAATTAAGGGAATTCATAGATGCTAAAGAAAAAGCTGTGGATACGCATTATCATTTAAATAAGATATGGCATTTAAAAAAACAATATTTTATAATCTACTAATCCTTGTAACAATTTATTCTTTGTTAATCAAAAAAAGAAAGATTTTTATAATTTATCATTGCGTACCATAGCAATTATTTTAAGCAAAATAATGGAAAGATACGTGTAATAACTGCCTTTCAGCTCTTAGTTTGACTGTTATCTATCTATCTATATATTTATCTATCTATCTCCTGGCCAGTTCGTTATATAGAGGCTACTGAGTACATATCTGTTTCTCTCATATTCCTCCGCACATGTTTTACTGAGTGCAGAACTTCCCGATGTATCAAAAAATAATATTTAGAGCAAATAATTTCAACTGCTGTTTAAATATTTATTAGTTTATTCAAGCTAAAATCGAGGAGGCCTTTTTACTTGAAGGTTTCGAAAATGATGAATCCATACGCTATCGTTTTCATTACTTTTTTATCTTTTCGATTCATTCTTTTTTTTTTTTCTTTCTTTTCTTTTTTCTTTTCTCCATTCACATGCTTTCTTTCTTTCTTTTCATTTCATTTCATTTAATTCTTTCTTTCTTTTTTTTTTTCTTTCTTTCTTTGTCCATTCTTTATTTTCTCATTACCTCTTTTTTTCTAAAAGTGTTCTGTCTTTCTTTTAAATCAAGAATTCTTTTAAAAATTGCATTATCATTTATTCTTTTATTTCAAAACTGTTTCTTTCTTTTTTCTTTCTTTTTTTTCTTTCTTTCTTTTTTTTAAATATTTCTTTAGTTTCTTCTTTCATTCTTTAACTTTTTTCTTTCTTTCTTTATTCTCTTTAGTTCCTTCTTTTATTCTTATCTTTCTTTCTTTCTTTCTTTCTTTCTTTCTTTCTTTCTTTCTTTCTTAGTAGTCTATTCTCTTTAGTTCCTTCTTTTATTCTTAGCTCTTTCTTTCTTTCTTTCGTAGTGATAGTAGTAGTAGTATATACTCTTTCTTTTATTCTTCGCTCTAATATCTTGTTTTTCTTTCTTTTTCTTTTTTTTTTTCTTTTTTCTTTCTTTTGTGATCTTTCTCTTTCTTCTTTCATTATTGCTCTTTCTTTCTTTCTTTTTTTCTTTAGTATAACAAATTTTTATTAAATTCTAATATTTTTTTTTTTTCTTTTTTTTCTTTTTCTTTTCTTTCTTTTTTCTTTGTAAGTGTTCAATTTTTCTTTCTTCTTTTTTTAATTTTTTTTCTTTCTGGAATTTCTTTTCTTTTATTCCTTCTTTTATTCTCTCAACACCTTTCTGATTTTCTTTCTTTTTTTTTAATCCATTTTTTTTAGTATTTTCTTTTTATTCTTTTTTTTTTCTTTCTTTTCCTTTCTTTCTTTCTTTCTTAGTAGTCTATTTCTTTAGTTCCTTCTTTTTATTCTTAGCTTTTTCTTTTCTTACTTTCTTTTTTCTTTTTTCTTTCATTTTTCTTTAGAATTCTCTTTAGTTTTTTTTATTCTTAGCTCTTTCTTTTTTCTTTTTTTCTTTTCTTTTTCTTTTTTTTTTCTTTCTTTTCTATTCTCTTTAGGTTCCTTCTTTTTATTCTTTTTCTTTTTTTTTCTTTCTTTCTTTCTTTCTTTCTTGTAGTTATTCTCTTTAATTTCTTCTTTTATTTTCCTCTTTTTTCTTTCTTTATTTCTTTTTTTCTTTTCTTTCTTAGTAGTCTATTCTTTTAGTTCCTTCTTTTATTCTTTCTTTCTTTCTTTTAGAATTTTTTTTTTTCTTCTTTTTTCTTTTTTTCTTTCTTAGTTCTATTTTCTTTTTCTTGCTCTTTTTTCTTTCTTTCTTTTTTGAAGTTTCTTTTATTTTCTTTTTTTCTTTCTTTCTTTTTAAATTTTCTTTCTTTCAAATTTCTTTATTTCTATTTAAATTATTTTCTTTATTCTTTTTATTCTTTTGTTAGCTCTTTCTTTCTTTTTTTTTCTTTTTTCTTTCTTTTTAGTAGTCTTTCTTTAAATCCAATTCTTAGCTCTTTCTTTCTTTCTTTTTTTCTTTTTTTTAGTTTTTTCTCTTTAGATTCCTTTTTTTTCTAAGCTCTTTCTTTTCTTTTTTTATTTTTTTTTCTTTCTTAGTAGCGGATTTCTTTAGTTTTTTCTTTATTCATTTTATTCTTTCTTTATTTCATTTTTATTTTTTTTCCTTCTTTTATTCTTTTAAGTTCTTTCGTTTCTTTTCTTTTAAAGTCTTTCTCTTTTTCCTTCTTTTATTAATCGTCTTCTTTCTTTCTTTTTTTTTCTTTTTTTTAAGTCTATTCTCTTTGGTTTTTTTATTCTTATATTTCTTTCCTTTTTTCTTTTCTTTCTTTCTTTTTTCTCATCGTAGTCTATTTTTTGTATTTGGATTCTTTCTTTCTTTCTAAATTTTCTTTCTTTCTTCATTAATTTGTTTTTTAGTATCAATGGTTTCTCTTTAGTATTCCTTCTTTTAATTCTTAGCTCTTTCTTTCTTTTTTCGTAGTTATATTCTCTTTTTTTATTCTTCGCTCTAGTATCTTGTTTTCTGACTTTTTCTTTTTTTTGAATCTTTTTTCTTTTTTTTCTTAAATTTTTTTTTTTCTGATATTTTTTTACAAAGAACCTTTTTTTTTTTTTTCTTTCTTTCAACTCTCTTTCTTTTTTCAATTTCTTTGAATACTATTCTCTTCTCCTTTGTTATATTCTGTTTTTTCTTCCTTTTCTGTCATTCGTTCTTTTCCATGAATTTGTTGCGTTAGTTTTTCTATCGTTTTTTTTTTCATTTACTTATTGTTTCCTTTTTCTATATCAAATCTCACTGTTTTTTTTGTCCCTGTTTATCATATATTTCCCTAAATCATTTTCCGTTTCGCCATTTTTATTTTTTTTTTTGCATAAATTACTTCACATTTTCATATTTTTGCTTTTTATTGTTTCTTTTTCTTTATTCCATCTTTGTGCTTACTCTTACAAATACAATTGCCGCCAAAATTAAAATATTTCAAATATGCATCTTCTTTGATTATTTACCTGCTTATCATTTTTGAATATCTTTAATTTTTTTTGTTTTTTGTTCCATGTTTTATTAAACTTATATTAAAATTCCCGGCGGAATGTTCATTTTAAATGAACCGGCATGCTTATTTTATTAGGTTGGTGCAAAAATAATGTTGTTTTTTGACGTTCAACTTAACGTCAAAAAACGACATTATTTTTGCACCAACCTAATATATGTTTAAAAGTTACCACCGATATGACTGTACAAAATGTTTTTGTATTTGCTAAAAAACAGAACTGTACTTTTCTTTTTGATGTATACATTTCTGTACATTCTTTTCCTTTGTTAATTAATTTATCTCTTTATTATTATTATTTTATTTTTATTTATCTATTAATTATTATTAATTTATCTATTTATTATTATTATTTTATTTTTATTTATTTTGTTATTGTTTACTGCATTTTACTTTCTCTGTTATGCAATATCAATCCTCCTATGAGATTATGAATGCTGGACAATCTCCTCACAGAAATAAGAGAAGACTTGAGGCAACAAAGATGTCGTTCTATCGAAGGATGCTGAGAATACAATTGACGCGTAAGTAACGAGGAAATTTTAAGGAAAATTGAAAGTAAAAGAGGCACCTTTATTCAGAATAGGCATTTTAAAAAAGATAAAATTTTTTAGTGGATACTAAAGTTTTTTTTTCTCCCAGTAAATTTGACATTTTCACATGGCATATTAAAAGGCAAAGGCACGCTAAGAGAAAGCAACGAGCTACATACTTTATGGTTTTGTTTAACCCATTATTTCTTTTTTATATTATATATATATATATTTATATATATATATATATATATATATATATATATATATATATATATATATATATATATATATATATATATATATATATATATATATATATTATATAAGCAATATAAACAAAAAGGATAGATAAAGGCAGCAATATTCAGTGCTTGGGAGGAATGGTAGATTTATAAACGTGCTAGAAGAATTCTGGCGAGGAAAGATTGTTTAGCACCAGTTTTCCTAGCAGCAGATCTAGCAACTGATTCAATATAATCATTCAACTTTATGTCTGTGGAAAAGCCCAAGAAGTTGCAATGGGGGGGGGTCTCTAGAGGTTAGCACCAGAAATACTGACGAATAGCAAAAATGGTTCTCAAGATAATAAAAAGGCAGCAGTTTTGTTTTGGAGGTATTAAAATTTAGAAGCCCTGTCTTGCCCCCGTTAACAACTGATTGTATGTCATTTTTGAGATTAACTGCCAGTTTTACTTTGTCGCATCTAGTCGGCTTACTATTAAGACAGGAATAAATAGTTGTGTCATCAGTATAATTACCGAGTTAGGGAACTGATGACACCGGGAAGGTGGTTGTTGAGATGAGAAGCAAAGTAGGTCGAAGGATAGAGCTATGAGGTACGCCCTTATTAGTGTGAAAGGATTTAGAAGAGTTCTTTTTTGGGCGTTCAAGTCCACATTCATAAAGGATTTGTTAAGATTGGATAAAATCGAAATTTGTTCAGGAGACACCATAACTCTTCAGCTTGTGATGAGAAACAAAGTAGGTCGAAGGATAGAGCTATGAGGTACGCCCTTATTAGTGTGAAAGGATTTAGAAAAGTGGGCGTTCAAGTTCACTTTCATAAAGGATTTGTTAAGATTGGTTAAAATAGAAATTTGTTCAGGAGACACCATAACTCTTCATCTTGTGATGAATCAGGAAATCTAGAGAGCCATGATCGCACATGTATTATTTTGATGGAATTGTATTTTCTTTTTGTTATACCTGAACATTACCTATTCTATTGTAATAGACTCTCCCACACATAATATGTAGTAGTAGTAGTAGTAGCGGTCGCCAGTTGGGCTCGGTGGAGTTGAGTGAGTCAGTCGATGTCGGACATGGAAGTATCAACCATCCCAACTAGATTGCTGCGTCATTAACTCTTATTTCAAGTTCCTAACGTTTTGTACGTCGGACCCTTTTAGGACCGACTTAGCGAAATACAAGCCTCCACCGGGAAAACTACTCTACAACACTTTTACTTTTTATTCATTTTTTTCTTTCGTCGAAAATGATTTATTAGACATTCATCTGTGTAATAAAGGATATGAAATATCCACAATACACGTAAGAGAGTCGGTTGAAAAGTTCATAGACTGGCAAAGATATAAATATAAGTAGACACACTAGTTGAAGACTTAAAAGCAATCATAACTATACCAGACTTCAACAATGGTTAAAAACTGTTGTATTCAACATCCTGCAATTGCATGTTTTTTATCTGCTAACTGGTATGTCTACTTACATATATGTCTTGATTAGCCTATGAACTTTTCAGCCGACTCTAAAAATGGAACATGTGAAAACCAATTAAAAGTTGACAAGTTTTTATATAAGTATTAACATTTGAAAATGCTCAGGTAATTTTTACCGAGACGTCAACATTTAAATTTTAAAAAATGTCAGTCATAATCCAATAGGTGTTAACCTATTTTATTTTTACATATCTACGTCTATGTGATAAACGTTTGGCAACCCAGTGGCGAAATAAAAATAGTGTTGATGAAAAGAATGTGTTTTTGACTAAATATCGCACGGGCAAGTGAAATAGTTCAAGATGTGATTTCCGGCTTGATGGCTTCAAAATAAAGCAAGTAAATACATTTAATTATCCGAGAACGGTTTAATTAGACAACGGAAAATGTAAAACAAAAACCAGAACGCGGATTGGAAACAGTAAAAGATGCCTTCTCGAAGTTAAACAAATTAATAAGAGACAGAAAAATGTCGTCAGTGATGTAATGGAATAACCCGACACCCCCATGATTGATTACACTATAGGTAGTAAGTACGTATAAAGTCAACTGTCTACGAGAGACTGCAGTGAGTGAGTGAGTGAGTGAGTATTATCAGCAATAAAAATCTTGTTGGTATTAAATAAGCCATTGAGGTTAATATGCCATAAAACAAACCAAACTAAACCTTAAATAGGGAAAGCGGAAGTGAAGCAGACGGACTGAAACGATTCTGCGTTGAGGACTGAAGAAATAATGAAACCAAAGAAAAATGGATGAACCATTTAATAGTGTTGGCTCGAAAAATCTATTATATGTTAAAAAAAACTGTATTAAATATAGGTGTACAAACATTTGGAAACAAATGTAGGTTACTATAAATACAATATAAAATTAGTGCACACCGGCGTGGTGTAATGGTTAGAAAGCTTGTCTTGCTAGAACAATTACAAATGTGTGGTGCTTTCGATCCTCACTGGGTGCTCCATACATTCGGCCTTGTGCCACATCTAAGCTACGCTTGGAAAATCTCTACATATACAGCATAAAAATAGAGTACCCCGGCGTGGTGTAATATTTAGCAAGCCTGTCTCGCTAGAACAGTTACGACTGAATAGTGAGTCCGATCCTCACTGGGTAACGCATACGTTCGTCTTTGTGCCACATGCAAGCTACACTTAGGAAAAACAATATACACGATAAAATTAGTACAGAATATAATTGAACTGTGATCCTAGAAGTTTTGGCCAACAACATCAGTTCCTACAAAATCAAATCTCGGGTCATGTTCATAAATAGCCTAGTTTAATCGAGACTTTTATATGTTTGCCATGAATCGCGCTAATCTCGTGCAGAAATCTCAAAATTCGCTGACGTATAAACAGCATTCTCCGATCGACGGTTATAAATTGCTTCGAGAGAATGAAGCCAGTGGGTCTTAGCGAGGATCATCCTTCTTCGACACTTATGAACTGCCGCTAAAGAATCAACAAAGAACTGTACTAAATAACAGAAAACTCTTCACTTGAGGACTTTTAGCAACAACTAAAATGGCATATGCAACTCAAAGAGAAGATAATGACTTCATCAAGATATTGACGTTCGACACTATTAAAAAAAAAACAATTAGGATGAAAGCCATTATAAGTTAGAAAACAATTCTCCTGAAGATAGAATTCAATAGAAAGATTTTATAAATTTTAACTGAAAGATTTTTTGGATGATCGGTCATTGAATGCCTAAGATTTCCTTAAAAGAAAGCTGTTACTGTAGAGAGGTTTGTCCGATTAACACACGTTCCCAGTCTTTTAAACAGGAGTAGAGGTCTATCCCTTGGATCCGGTTTATTCTAAAATTTTCTTCAACTCTACACTTCTAACGTCTCCGACTGAATTCTGAAAATGTATTTCTTTATTTATTTTCTTTTCTTTATCTTCTTCCCCTTAATATGGGGAGTAGAAAAATATCGTTCATGCTCCTCATCGGTCTTTTGAACAGGAGTAAAGTTTCAGCCATTGTTCCCTGTTTAGGATTGGGTCTCCAGTTCCTTGTAAAGTCTTTTCATTATCTTTAACTTCCAGTCTCCCTTTGCATTTTAGCGTCATTATCGCATTGCTTGGGATGAACTGATTAACATACTTGAGTATAATAAACCCCGTTTTTATGAAGCTAAAAACAGGGAATAAATGACATCCTTGAATATAATACGACCTCTTAATACAGAGATCCCACTGTAAATCTTTTTTTGAAAAGTTGTACCATATTATTCATTAAAATCTTAATATTATACAGATATTTCATTAAAATGTTTAATGCTTCACAATATTATAGAATAGAAATGAACCGGATGTTTCGCCATTGCATGTTTCTTCTAATTTCCGTTTTAAAACTTATTTTCGAGGAAAGTTGCTCACTCGACATACCCA